CCCTGCCCATATCCCTAGCCTGGCTGCTCCAGCTCTACCCCTCTGGCTGGAGCCTAAGCTGGTTAGGCTCAGGAGTAACACCTGCTGGAAGTGGAGCCTGGCAGTGATGACCGAGGCCCAGGCCAGCTCTGCTAAAGGACACCTGAGAACAGGAGACAGGGGAAGCCTCTAGAAATACCCCAGCAGCAACAAGGCAGCCCACCCTCCCTCCACGGGTGGAGGGCCTCAGAGCCTGGGAGTCAATAGTTTTCCATTGGTTTATGAGGGATTAAGATTTTGTCACGCCTTCCTGTTGTTTGGTTCAGTTAGATGCTTTGTAACTGAGCCCTAGTGGTTTGCCTAGTCAGCACTAAATGGGGTCTTCAACCAAGAATGGTGTTTCCACAGATGGGAGTTTGAGTGTGAGAATCCTCAGGGAGAAGTGAGAGGATCTGGGTTTTAATAACAATAATTTAGAAATTATCTCAGTGAACCAATCACAATGAAAATGAGTAGGACTCTGCTAGGAATCTGCACTGGCAGTATTGGATTAATGGTAGGCCATAATAAGTCTCTCTTCGTGAACCAACACAGACCAGATAAAAATGATCACTTTCTCTGAAATAGTGTTTTCATCACTTAGATACTTAGATGCATGATCCCCCTACCTCCAGGAGCACAGATCAAAACTTTTGTCCTTGCCTTTTCATCCTGTGTGATTTTCTTCCGTCTTTGCATGAATTCTCCATAGGGAATTCCTCCATATTGTCCTTAGTTATGTTTCTGCTTCAAGGGTAAGGTACAGTCCCTAGCCATGTCCTCTGACTACTCAGCCTTCATTCCTAGTCACATGTGTCTGTGATGATTTTATATTCCTAATAAGTTTAAAAGCAGAAATCCTTCCATTTTTATTTTCTGTTATTGAAGTCTGTTTCCTTAGTTCACTTGAATCGAGTTGTTGGTCTGAACCATAAATTCCCTGGTACAAACCAAACCAAGCTAACTTCATGAAGGAGTCATTGTTGTCTGACTTTTCTCATCAGTCTTCATGCCAGTCCAGACTGTACATTGATAACAATGTAGCTTCATATTGGGCTGTGGTTGGAGAGAGATGTTTCATCTGTTAAATTCAATTAAAACTGTTACCATTTTTGCTATGGTTCAGTTACTAAGGATATAAAGCAAATACTCCATTGGTGTGATTGTAGGCCCATAGTTTTAGGACAATTTGCAGAAAATAACTGCAAATGAATTTGAAATTGATTTTAAAACCAGGGTTATAAACAATGTTCTTAAAAGCCTAGTCATTTGAGGGGGCAGCTAGGTGGCGTAGTGAATAGAGCACAGCCCTGAAGTCAGGAGGACCCGAGTTCAAATAAGGCCTCGGACCAAACACTTGACGCTTACTAGCAGTGTGACCCTGGGCAAGTCACTTAACCCCAATTGCCTTTAAAAAAACAGACAGGTCTAGTCATTTGCGATTGGGCCCTAGCAGCCATCCTGGCCACCAAATGGCTACCACAAATACTTTTTTTTTTGTGGGGTATTGTCCCTAAAAGTACTGGAAAATGTATTTAAAATTGTAACGCGTCAAATCTCACTGCAAATGAGCAATTTATTTCCTATAATTCAGCACTTAAATTTGTTCTAAAATGAAGGTTTAAGCAGAAATGTACTTGCTAGTAAATACTTCCACCTCATTTTTATCTTTATCTCACTTCTGCAACTTTTCCTACAAAAGTGAACACAAAGCCCCTCACAAAGAGGAGAATTACTGGCAGTCACCTGGCTTCTCCCTGCCGTTCATTTTCCCCGACATTTGTCAGGAGATAGCTTAAATGAGAGAGTATGTGCTTGTCGAGGTTTCATACTAGATAGGGCGTTGATATAAACAGTTGAGGTCTTGTGGCTGACGAGACATAAGCAGCTGCAAAATGTTTCCCTTTAACTTGTTTTTATTTAGTCGTGCATTCACCAGACATTTGCTGGGGACTGGTAGTTTGCTGCGTAAGGATCTGCTTTTCAGTCTTGGCTCTGCTCCCTATTTCTTGCCTAGTTGTGGTGGGTGAGTGACTTAAACTTGCCTGAGCCTTGCTTAGGTAGTCGGTGACAAGGTCAGAGAGATGACCTCTGAGATCCGTTTTATCTAAATTTGTGATCCTCCAATCAGTCAATTAATAAATATTTATTAAGCCCTGCCAGATACTAGGCTAAAGCTGGAGGGAGAGGGAGAAAAAGCATAAACAGCCTTTGCCCTCGAGGAGCTTACATTCCAAGGGGGAGATGAGTACTTGAATAGGAATGTACACTATCGTTGCAGAGTAGATACAAGGAAACCTTAGCTGGAAGGCACTAGCACCTGAGGAGACTTGGGAAAACTTTCCTGAAGCAGATGGGGTTTAATTTGAGTCTTGAAGAACCCCCGGGATTCTGTGAGGTGGAGGTGAGAAGGGAGGGCATTCCAGGCAAGAGGCACAGCCAGGGCAAAGGTGCAGAGACGGGAGATGAGGCATAGTGTGTGAGGAACAACAAGTAGGTCAGTGTGGCTGGGCTCTGGAGGACAGTAATGTCTAAGAAGTCTGGAAAGACAGGAATGGGCCGCATTGTAGAGGGTTTTAAATGCCACATAGAGCTTCCATGTAATTCTTGAGAGGAGAAGAAGTGTCTGGAGTTCACTGAGGAGGAGAATGCCATGGTCAGACCTTTGGCAGCTTTGTGGAGGTTGGACTGGAGTCAGGGGAGACCTGAGGCAGGAGACCAACCAGAAGGCGCTAGTCCCAGGCGTAAGATGGTGAGGAGCGCACGAGTGAATGGAGGGAAAGGGACCTCCGCCCGAGATGTTCCGGAGAAAGAAACCACAGGAGTCCAGCAACTAATAAATGTGGGGCACGAGGGGTGCATGGGCGAGGGTGCCGGCTGGCATTAAGGTTGTCTGATCAGGCCCAGTCCCACAGAGTGGTGGGGAGGGGTGGATCCAGATATGGGTGGATGGATGGAGAGAGAGAGAGACAGAGACAGAGAGACAGAGAAACAAGATAAAAATGGAGTAATTTCAAAGGATTGGTTCAAAGTACTATTCAGAAGAGGAAAAGTTCACTTTGGGCTTGGAGTGAGGAAGGATGCTGTCAGGGAAGACGATGCCTAAAAGAAGAAGCATCCGAGATGAGTCTTGAAAGATGGGCAGAGTTTGAACAGAATAGATGGGAGAAAGGCATTTTGATGGTGGGAACTGTATTCCTTTTCCTTTACTTTAAAAAAGAATGTTTCACAGTTTCTAATTTTATTGAAAGGGTCAACTAGGTGGCACAATGGATCGAGTGCCAGGCCTGGAATCAGGAAGACCAAAGTTCAGATCTGGCCTCAGACACTTTATTTGCAGAAAATAACTCTCTGTGTGTGTGTGTGTGTGTGTGTGTGTGTGTGTGTGTGTGTGTGTGTGTGTGAGGGACTAGCTGTGTGACCCTGAGCAAGTCACTTAACCCTGTTTGCCTCAGTTTCCACATATGCAAAATGAGCTGGAGAAGGAAATGGCAAACCTCTCCAGTATCTTTGCCTAGAAAACCCCAAATGGGGTCACAGAGAATCAGACACAACTGAAACTACTGAACAACAACAATCTTATTAAAATAAGTAGCTTGTACTTGGTAAATACTCTTTTTTTACTGTATTAAAAAAAATAAGTTTTATTGATACTTTTTTTTGGGTGTCATTTGTTTGCAGACACAGGCCTCCCCTTCCCTGGCACGGAACTCTTCCAGTAACAAAGAAAAATAGTTAAAGCAAAACCATCCAGCAGAATAGCCACATCTGAGCGAATGCAGTCAGCATTCTGTATCCATAGTCCCCCTCCTTTCTCCTGAGAGGAGGAAAATGTGATTCATTATCTGTCCTTTGAGACTAAATGAGGCTGTTACAGTTACTTAGAGTTTTGTTTTGTTTTGGTTTTCCATTTATGTTATTGTACTTACTATGTTATCCTTCTGGCTTACTTCACTCCACATTAGCTCATAGGATTGTAGGGTCATAGGGACCTCACACACAGGTCTTCTCATATTTCTTTGAGTGCCTCTTATTTCCTACAGTCAGTCAACAAGCATCATTGGATGCCTGTTCAGTGCCAAGCACTGTTAGGTACAGTGGATGCGGAAACAGAAATGAAGCCATCTCTGTCCTCAGAAAGCTTTGATTGCATCATGAAGACAGTGTATAATAAGTATGTACAAAATGCATGGGGAGGAGAGGTACTAGAAGTTAGAGGAGGGAGGATCCAGAAGGCTTCATGTAGATGCTGGAACTTGAGGTGAACTTGGAAAAAAACAGGGTTTAAGTGGCGGAGATGAGGGAGGGTGAAGAAGAGTCGACAGCCAACGAAAAGGTGGGAGATGGAGTGTCATCTGTGAGGAAGAATAGGAAAGCCAGTTTGGTCGAACTGGAGAATTCATGAAAGGGGGTGTAAGTAATAACCCTGGACATGTGAATTGGGACCAGCTGATGAAGAGCTTTGAGTGCTAAACAGAGGAGTTTCTATTTGACCCTGGAGGTGACAGGAACCGCTGGAGCGTATGGGCACACTCTGTGGTGGGTGGATTGGAGCGGAGAGAGACTTGATTGGGAAAGGTGTTATGGAGGCCGACCCAATGGGTTCTGGCAAAGGAGAGAAGTGTCCAAGATGAGCTAGGGTTTCAGACCAGACTGCTCACCTGGGGGAGTGGGGTGCCATTAATAGAAATATGAGACTTTGAAAGTTGAGAGGAGAAGTTCCATTTTTGACCGTTATGTTCAACATCATCATTGTTATTGTAAATTGCTATTTACCATGATCCCTTCCAAGTTTCTTCTCCAGTTCTGGAGCTGTAGTAGCAGGAAGGAGCAGTGGAAAAGGTGGCCAGGGCCAGCAGCTCTGCCCCTCCTCCTACCCTAAGTTAGCCAGGTGTACCAAATCTCAAGCCAAGGGAGCACCTTCTGTTTGACCAAAGACCAGGGAAGCTTTTGAGGGATTTTTTAGTTCTCTTAAGTGCATAGGAATGACTGATTCTCTACGAGGGTGCATCCAGCCATGGGAGCAGGCTGATGAGGAAGGTTTGGGGAGCAAGTTCTTGGGATCTCTCCAAGTCATCCTATAGAAGAGGATTCTGAAGACTTAGCCCTGGCATGCTAACCTAGTGAGTGTGAAAGGGATGATGAAAATCTCTGTTTGTGTTTAGAATGTTATTTACAAGATCACTGGGTTTTGTTTGAATGCTCCAAAAGAGCATGACTTGGGATTTGGGGCTCATCCTCTTAGCTTTGCATATTAAGCAAAATTGTGGGTAAGGTAAGAATCTTTTTAGACTTTCCTTGACAGTTTTTATACATCTGGAGGAAAGACATGTTAGAGTATATACTTTCCTCTTGTGTACTCTCCTTTTGGTTCTGAGGTGACTCTGTTTTTATTTCAGGGTAAACCATGTTATTAGCCCAGATAAATCGAGATTCTCAGGGAATGACTGAGTTTCCTGGAGGGGGAATGGAGGCTCAGCATGTCACTCTTTGCCTGACAGAGGCAGTAACTGTGGCAGGTGAGTAATCTTGCTATTTAACATCTAATGCAGCTCAATAATGCTTCCAGAAACATAGACCTAGAGCAAAGGGAATTGCAGTTTGATCAGCAAAGCACAGAATAAGAATATGGAGAACTGAACACATTGCCAGATATAGTTGAGGGTTTTTTTTTGGTGGGGGGGGAAGAAGATTCTGAATACTTACTCTGATACTTATTCTGAAATAGTTGTTTAAAATGTTAGTCCTCAGCACCTCCAAGTTGCAGTGGGTTCTATGAGGCCCCTGATTGTTAGGGTGTTTTTAGTCATGTCCGTGCAGCATTGCAGTTTGTTTAGGGGAGCTCTCCCTTGACTCTGCTGAGAGATACTTTAAGTGAATGGAGATTACAGAATGTAATTTCTGGTCAGGCCTTATGTGGGAGCCATCATTATTTACCCAGAAGTGTACAACTCAATGTATCTTCAAGTTTCAGAGTAAACTTAAGCCTTTTAAAGTGATTTTCCATGGTTCCAGATGGGAACATCCCAGGAAGCTTCCTGGAGCTTTGCCCACTGTAATCAAACATTGAATTGAGCTCAACAGCTTGGGCCTGGTCCATTTATTTTTTGTGTCCTTGGTGAGGTCTGTAGATCTGGTTTTCCTGGTGTTCTCCAAAATGAAATACTGGATATTGTTGGGGTTTGTTTTTTTAAAGAATGGTGTTATTTGTTTGTTTGTTTTTTAATTTTTTCTCAATTACATGTAAAAAGCAATTTTTCACATTTATTTTTTATAATTATTGAGTTCCAAATTCTCTCCCTCACCCCTTCTTAAAATGGCAAGCACTTTTGACTCAGATGTTGTTTTTCATAGATGGGGACAATCTGGAAAACATGGAAGGTGTCAGCCTGCAAGCAGTGACCCTGGCAGATGGCTCCACAGCTTACATCCAGCACAATTCCAAAGGTAGGGACGGCCTCTGTGGCCGAGTCGCCACCACTGCTGGTGGCCTCCGTCAGGGAGTGCTGCTGCTCCTGTGGTTTCATTGCCCTTTTGGTGGGAGCTTGATTTCTCAGAGGCAGCTAGATAGCCCAGCGGCCAGAGTGCTGGACTTAGAGTCAGGAAACCTTGAGTTTGAATACTGCTTTAGACACTCACTAGCTTTGTGACCCTGGACAAGTCACTCACCTTCTGTCTGCCTCAGCTTCCACATCTGGAAAATGTATACAATAACACCACCTACCTCAAAGGGTGATTTTTTTTTTTGCAGATCAAATGTAATAATATGTAAAGCACTAAACAAATCTTAAATTATCATATAAATATTAGCTTTTATTGTTGTCATTGATGTTGTTATTAATATTTTCATGCACATATCTCTTGCTTCCCATGGTACTGCATGGCATATGCTTATGTTTTAAACTGAAGTGGGTTAAAAATAAATTTTGTTTTGAGAAATGTTGTTACCACTTGAAGACATGCAGGGATATCACAAAACCAGATTTCAGGAACTCTTTGCCAGCTAGACATTAATGAGGGATAAGGCAGGCTAATCTCTCAGGTCCCTTCCTACCCTCAAAGCCCTGGGCATCTCTCACATATCTCATATTGTAGGATTTTTTTTTAATTATCCCTAAAAATATGACAGGCAAACTTGAGCAAAAGTGTGTGCAATTTGCCAGTAAGTTTAATTTTTATGGTACTGGAGACTAAAGGCGATGTCTGTTTTGTGCCTCCCAGATAGTGAAAGCCCAGCCCCTCTCAAATCCTCTTTCCAAGTGAGTATTTGTAGAAACAATGGAGGGAAGCTTCTTCCCCTTGTTACGTATGGGTAAATAGAAGGCCTCAAGTGTTCCTGTAGCCCCAGCAGGGTCACTGGGGACTGGCCTCTTCCAGCCCAGGGGCTGCTCAGAAGTGTAGTGGTTCCTGCCTCTGAAGGCCTCTTGCAGCCAAAGACTGGAGAAGAAGAGAGTTAACAGAGGAAAAGCTTCCTCCTTTCTACCTTTCCACAAGGTTCATCACTTTTTTAAAATTTCATTTATTTCAATGAACAAAAATCCTTTTCTCTCCTTCCCACATACTCCCCCCACATAAACACACCCACTGAACAGAAAACAAACCAAAAAAGCCCTCTTGTAAGAAATAGCAGAGTCTGGCAAAGCAGCTTGCTACCTTGGCTGTGTCTCCCCGTCTCTCGTTCTGCACCTCCACCAAATATATTGTGAACTGCCTCAGAACTGGAGAGAAGAATAGCCAGTGTACGGTCGTATTAATTTAGTGTTAATATGTTTATTGGTACCTGAATCTTGTGTTTCAGATGGAAAACTCATGGATGGCCAGGTTATTCAACTAGAGGACGGTTCTGCTGCCTATGTCCAACATCTTCCTATACCTAAGAGTAGTAAGTGTTTAAAAAACAATCGTGGGGCTCTCCTGGTGGTCAGATTACTCTTCTAGGCTCTCTCCTGCCACGCCTGCATGAGCCAAGGTCACCCTGTCCTTGATGTTAACAAAATGAGTAGGTGTGAATGCCATTCACATTGGGCAACCCCAGACTGAGGCCTCCCTCATTGTTGGTTGAACAAAATAGACAGTGCTTCCTGGCTCTGGAGAGAAAGTAAACAGCTGTTCTAAACACGTTTTGTCCAAAATAAAGGCTTAGATATTTGTCTGTTTCAGAGGGTTCCCATAACTTAGCCCCTACCATTGTGTGGATGGCTTTTCTGTAATTATTTCATGGTGCCAATTGGCTTCAATTAATTCACCCTGATATTTACTAACATAATTTAAATATGAAAGGGCTTGCAAGTAGAGTGTGTTATTTGTTCAGATTTTTAATGCCCCAGTGGGATTCTTTTCTCGAGAAAATTATCAGGATGGGAAAATTGAAACCTAACTTTAAATATTTCTTCTGGAGCAGGGGACAGTTTGCGTTTAGAAGATGGACAGGCAGTTCAGTTGGAAGATGGAACTACAGCTTTTATTCATCATACCTCCAAAGGTAAAATAGTTTTTGGAACATGTAGGGGATACAACTAAAGGAGAAGGGGAAAACTTGGGATAGACTTAATATTTGAGTGAATTATTTGAAGGGCTATTGTATTGAAGGAGGCCAGCTCATTGTGTGCAGCTGCAGAGCATGGGCCTTAGAAAGGGGCAGGTTTCCGTTCTGTGTAAGGAAGAAGTTTTTTAATAATCAGAGCTTTCCAGCAGTGGAATGGGCTAATGAGCTCAGGGTCTTTAGAAGTGTTCAAGCAGAGGCTGAATGTGAAATAAGTCTGAAAAGACAGGTTGGGACTAGATGTTGGTGACTCAGAATAAGGAGTTTGTGTTTTATCTTTATAAATAATTAAATGTGGGGATTCTCATCTCCAACCAAGAACTTGGCTCCTGCCCTCAAGAAGCTTATATTCTACTGGGGGACAGTAGCAAATAGAAGAGATTTTGAAGAGAAAGAGTAACAACTAGGGGGCTCAGGAATGCTTCCCATAGTTTAGGACACCTAAGTTACGTTTTGAAGAAAGCTAAGAATTCCAAAGGTCATTGGTAAGGAAGGAGCTTCCAGGTACTCCACAGTGCCCACAAAGGCGAGCTCCTAGAAGAGATGGGAAGAGACAAAACACTGAGCTCACAGAAGAGGTGGGAGTCTGCTTTCAAAGTGTAGGAAAGTTCATGTGGAGATTGTGAAAGACTTTCATTGCCAACCTAAGGGATGAACTCTTTATCCTACAGGCATACTGGGAGGTTTTGAGGGAGGCTCTTGAGCATAAGAGAACATGGCAGGCCTGTGCCTTGGCAGGGTTGTTTTGGCACCAGTGTGGCTTTTAAAGCATTTATTTGTCAATGAAACTTAAGAAGTGTTCATTAATTACCTGCTATGTGAAGGGCACCCGCTTAGTAGTGGCAACACAAAAGAGAAAAAAACGTTCTAGCTCCTGCCGTCAAGTAGCTTACAGTCTGGTGACATTCTAGTTTGTGTAACAGCTGTGTTTGGGAGGGACTCTCTATTAGACTGTAAGCAACAGGAGGACACAATGGACTCATCATTGTATACTCCACATAGTGGGTGCTCACCACACAGGATTTCAGAGTTAGAAGGGCCTTCTGGCCATTTAATCCTCGTACCTGAAAAACAGTCCCTACTACAACATATCCCACAAGGTCATCCACCTTTTATTTGAATATATCCAAAGAGGGGAAACTAACCAGTTCTTGAGGCAGAACATTTGACTTTTGGGTAGCTCTAATTGGTAAGAATTTTTTTTTTAATATCAGGCCTAAATTTGTCTGTATGTATATTCCTCCCATTATCCTCTTCTGGCCTCTGGAGCCAAGCAGAATAAGCTTGGTCCCACTTGCACATAAAAACCTTTCAAATACTCGAGGACAGTTATCCTGTCCCTCAGTCTTCGCCAGGTCTTTCATCCGCTTCTCATGTGACATAGAGTGGAGACCCTTCACCGTGCTGGTTGCCCTGGACACTCTCCAGGTTATAAGCATCCTCCCAAAACTGTGGTTCCCAGTTCCTAAGCATAATATTCCACATATGGCTTGACAGGGGCAGGGTACAGGGGGTCTCTTACCTCCTTGCTTATTGAATGAATTAATGAATGATTCGGAGTTAAAGTTACCACATACCTTTTTAAAGATAGAAATTGTGATTTGAGAAATAACTCGATTTTTCCACTTTATCATCATTTTTTCCTCTATCTTTGCCACTTTTATAGTGTTCTACCTTCATTTGAAATAAATTCAGTTATAAAACATAACACTGGAAGGTCGCTTAGGTATTGGGTAACCCAGAAGAATAGCTGAAATTATTTATGCCTGTGCATAAATTAAATAACATTAGTAAGATTTGCCTGATTACAGGTAGAAAGGTCAACAGACAGTGTGTGTGTGTGTATGTGTTCTTTTAGTAGTAAAAGCTAGGTCCTGTACATGTTATTGTGATCTGTGTGTTCACGTTCCATCACTATCCCGCATTTCTCGGAGATGCAGTGGTTATCATTTATTGTTGGCCAGATTCTTGTCGTCTCTTCTAACAGTATTTTAACCTTGTATCTCAGACAGTTATGACCAGAGTGCACTACAGGCCGTCCAGTTGGAGGACGGCACCACTGCCTATATTCACCACACTGTACAAGTTCCCCAGTCGGACACCATCTTGGCTATTCAGTCAGATGGCACCGTGGCGGGCCTGCACACAGGGGACGCCACCATTGACCCTGATACCATAAGTGCTTTGGAACAGTATGCTGCAAAGGTATGGGATTGGTTTGAAATGTGGGGGCTGTCAACTTCATCACATTATTATTAGCACCTCTGAGTAATCCCTATGCCCCTAAAATGAAATTTCTTTGAGAAGAAAAAAAAAGAGCTTATACTGAAAATTAATACATTTATAGGACGCACTCAGGTTTTATACAAACCAGATATAGGAGATGTAATCTATGCCAAGACTAGTATGTTAAGAAAACTTGCTGTCTCCCCTTTTCAGGATTTTTTATTTTGTTTTGTTTTCTAAATAAGAACCTGCCTCCATAAACCAGGTCTGTGCTCCCATTCCAGCTTTATCTGGCTCTGCCCTCCTCTCCACACTCTATGTGTTATCTGAACATACTCCAGACATACTCAGGACTCTTACGGCTGTGGGCCTGGGTTCACACTGTACCCTGTACCTGGAAAACCCTCCTTCACCACCTTCATCCAATGAATTCCTATTCATTCTTTAAAATCCAAATCATTACCTCAAGAAAAATTTCCCAGATGCTCCATTCAGGCTTCAAATAATACTTCAATTTGTAACTTCTCTATTATCCACCTCCATTTTGTAACTCTTTCATTCACTTACTATGACTGGGCAGTCTAGCTTTGTCAGTATTTTTTTCCCTCTTTACTAGACTGTAAGCTCCCCAAGGACCAAAAAGGCACTGGATATAGATCCTGAGGATCTGGGTTCAGATTCTAACTCTGATTCTCAACACTTGTGGGACCTTAGGATCTCTTCCCCATGACCACATCACTATGTATAATCTCGGTTTTGTTGCTGTCCAGAATATAGGGCTCTGCCCACCATAGTTATTTAATAAGCATTTATTGTATTTATCTATTTAAATTAAAAATCAGTGTCCAAAGGACATCATTTCTAGTGTCTAAATAAAATAAGTTAGCATGAGAATAATTAGAAGGAGGGTAAGCAGATAGCGATACACAGAGGGAAGACTTAAAATCCTTGCAGGACTCCAGTTTGACCTTTCTTGATGCCTTCGTACTCAAGTGATTTCTCCCTTTTCTTCCCTCCGTGGTGCTTTCTTCCTCTTGGGCATCTTATATTATAGTTTAATACTTTATATTGTGTTCATTTATGCTTATTCCTATATAACATAAGCTTTGTAAGGTCAGGGACTATTTTGTTTTATCTTAGGATTTCACATACCTCCCAGAACAGGGTCCTACATGTAGTTAAAAACTCAGTAAATACTTGCTTCATTGAGATAATATGATTTGAACTCCGTTATGGATTATGAAGCATAGGACCCACAAAATGTGCATCTTAGAAGTTGCCTTGTTTTGTTTTGCTTTTTTTTTTTTTGGCTGCTTTTTGGTGAAGCAGTCAGGGTTAAATGACTTGCCCAGGGTCACACAGCTAGTAAGTGTCAAGTGTCTAAGGCCGCACTTAAACTCAGGTCCTCCTGACTCCAAGGCCGGAGCTATACCCGCTGTCCCACTTAGCTGCCCCTGCTTTTTTTTTTCTTAATTAAAAAGCACCTATTTTCTTTTCTTTATTTCTAGGTGTCTATTGATGGAAGTGACAGTGTCACTGGTGCTGGGATAATTGGTGAAAATGAGCAGGAGAAGAAAATGCAGGTATGGAAATTTGCAGTGACCTTGGCTTGAGTTCTTTTGACCCTTCTCGCTATTATGTCCAGTTCTTCTTGCCCTGCCCAGCGCTACGAGGAGGTGGTCTCTTTGTTCCTTCAGGGCTCTAGTGGGCCCTGCAAGTGCATGACGAACGTCCCTGGTTGAATAGCAGAACTGGAGCTTTTAGAGTGATGAGACACTGCTGGACTGCCCTCGCACCTCACAGGAGCTAGTCTGTGGCTGGGCCCAGCGATCACGCTGAAGAAACTCTGGATTTCTTGGACCTTCCTGAAAAGTGTTACTGTTTTCAGAACAGTTCCCCTTGTTAATGGCTTCTGGGATTGTCCTTTTTCTGTTTAGCATTATTTATCAGAGATACAAACTCAAATGGCGTACTTAACAAATTTACACATCTCCCAGAGCTGGAAAGGACAGCCTTAAACATCATGTGACCAAATCAGGATTTTGAAACATTTAGACAGGCTCTATAGAACACTGGGACAAATCACGTCCAACAAAACTTAATAGTTACGAACCTAAAGTCTTATGCTTTGTAAGTACTAGATGTGGGAAGCATAGCTGGAAAGCGGTTTATTCTGGGACTTTTAATAGGCTGCAGACGCTATGATGTTGGAGCCAAGAAATTTAGTGCAATCTTAGACCACCCTTAGAAAGACTTGGGATCCAGGATTATGGTATGAGGTAGTCCTCTTCCCAGTCAGACCACATTTGGATTGTTATTCTCAGTTCTAGATGCTACATTTTTTAAAGGACTTCAGTGAGTCAGAAAGTCTCCAGAAGAAGGCAACCATTATGGTGAAGGGCCTCCAATTCATGCCATATGAAAGTCAGTCAAAGGAACTGGGGATATTTAGCCAGAGAAGAGAAGAGTTACAAGGCCATGTATTGAATTACCTGTCTTCTGATAATTCAAGGACTCTCTAGGGTGGGAGGGTTCAGACTGGTTCCCCTTTGCCCCAAAGTAGAACCAGGAGTAAACCAGTAGAAGCTGCAGAGAAGCAAATTTATGCTTCACAGAAGGCAAAAAACTCGCTAGCAGTTAGAGCTGTTTAAAAGTGGATTGGACAGCTGGTCCCTCTCCCTGGAGATCCTGTAGCAAAGGCTCTTTGACATCTGATGCAGTGTATGATGTACAAGAAATGCTTGTCCAGAGGTGGGCTGGACTAAGACTAGCTTGGGATCCATCCCTTGCAGCTGAGATGTTGTGAATATGTTGTACCACACTGGGCTCTTTGGTTTCAAGGCCTGGAATTTTTTCATTCCTCCATGTACAGAGGGTATAACTGTTTGTGGCTTTTACACTTGGTAAAAGAGAACAGATATCGCAAAGCTCAGTTTATCTTGGCCCCCTGAGATGTAGCCACCCCAAAGCCAGCCACTTAAATATATTTGTATGTTCAAAGTGTTGGTTATAGATCGCAGGGGAGGAATTTTTAACATTATTTTTTCATTTAAACAACTTTTAAGGTAGGGGTCCATAATATAGCAAAGTGTAATTGAAACCTGTTACCATCAGCATTTTTGGAGCATAGCGGGGAGTTGGCCACAGAAATTTTCCAAAAGTAGGCCTTACCAAGATTGGCTGCTTTTTCCATTTGATCTGAAAGTTGGTTTGCCTAATTTGGCTCATAAACATTAGAGTAGGTATGTGGTTTCTGTGAATGAGGACCTTGACTCTTCGATGAATTAGAAGTCAATATACAGGATTGGGGTTGGACTAGAAGGCCTCTCAGTCTCTTTCTAGCTTTCCATCTACAAAAGGAAGAAAGAAGGAAGGAAAGAAACAAAAGAAAAGAGAGAAAAGAAAGAACAAATGGAAAAGAGAGCATTTGTTAGATGCTTACTATGTGCCAGGTACTATGCTAAGCTCTGCATGATACAAAAATTTATAAAGAGACAATCCCAGTTCTCAAGTTGCTTTTCGTCTAATAAAGACAAATACGTATATGGAAGTCGTGACCAAGGAAGGGAGTTGTGTTTTGGGGAGGGACGAGAAGGGAAGGGAATCTCCCTGGCCACTTATATGGCCACCCTTATGCCTGGTACCCCCAGGACCAACTGTAGAATTGTTAGCCTAAGACTGAGCCAAGGAATAGAGCAAAATCAAAGAGGCCATAGGTGGATCGGATACATTGCCTTCTCTTCCTTCGCACAGTGTTTTAACCAACTGAGCCTAACTAGTGAAAGGCGGTGGAGGATGAAGAGCTGGCCTCGGAAGGCCTGGTTAAGCTCCTCTCCCTGGCACGTGCTAGCTGCGTGATCCCAAGTAAATCACTCACTCTTTCAGTGTGCCCAACAGGTCTAAGATTATAAGCAGCAGATGAGCTGCCCATCTGGACGTGGGGGAGACCATCCCCTAAAGTGATGACATCATATGTTCTGACATCCCCCAGAATGTTGACATTAACTTTTTTTATCGTGTGACTGAGTCAGAATCTGAAGCTACTTTTTGTTTTTTTACTTCATAAATTATTGCTTCAATCATTCCTGTGATGTCTTTTCCTCCAGATTGTATTGCACGGACACGGGACGAGAGTCACCGCTAAATCACAACAAAGCGGAGAAAAGGCCTTTCGGTGTAACTACGAAGGATGTGGAAAACTCTACACGACGGCTCACCACCTGAAGGTGACCTTGCCCTTGGCTTTCAGACTCTTCCCCTGACACCCTTAGCTCTGGTGGCACTTCCCAGTAGTGGTTCACTGCCCGGCAGACGTTTGCCTCGTCCCTGTCCCCACCCTTTGCAGTGGCCACTTCTCCACCTGAGATGCTTCTGGTGCCTTTCAGGGGTGTTCTCCATTTTTGTGGTTGTGGCCCAGGTGGTTGGCCGGGTCCTCAGTTTGTATCACTCTTTTCTAGTCGCCTGGAACCCTCCTTATTTGTTGTACCACCTTCTCTAATTAAATTGGGCCATTCCATAATGGGCAGGCACCTACTCTGTTTCCAGTTCTTGGCTCCCACAGAAAGGTACTGCTGCTGTGCTTACTTTCTGCATAGCAGGAGCATTTTGACTGTGTGCGCGCATGTGTATTGCATAAAATAAAGACACAGAGGCATGATGGTGCCATAATCCTTAGAGAAGCAAGATGGTCATCTTGCAGTTCACTTGTACTGTAGGAGATTTTGGGGATGACCCTTCTGACCTTGTGTGGAGAGATCTTTCCCAAGTACGTGTGAAGTATCTGTAAGTGTTCTACCAGGGGATGAGTCTTTGTCAGCGCAGTAACTCATAGTGACCTGCAAAGCGGGGAGGGCTTGTGATCTCCGCCAGTGGTGGGGAATGCCTCCGGTGAAAACAATCAGCACTGTCACGGTGGCACAGGAGAGAGAACACCCACCTGGAGGTGGGAAGATCTGAATTCAAGCACAGCCTCAGACTCTTAACTAGCTGTGGGACCCTGGGCAAGTCACTTAAGCTCTGTTTGCCTGAGTTTCCTCATTGATAAAATGGGGATAATGATAGCATCTACCCCTCAAGGTTGTTGTGAAGAGCAAATGAAATAAGAATTATAGAACACTTAGCACAGCGGCACATAGTAGGCTCTGTGTAAACATTAGTTATTATTATTTTTATTATTGTTACATTAATTCATTATTATTATATATTTGATTATAAGTTATGTTCCTACCCAGAAACCTTCATTCGCACCTTGTCACCCATCTAATAAAGACCAAACCCAAGGTCCTGAACACTTTGGTGCCAGTCTTGCCCTAATCCTGTAGTGCTCCAACCAAACCAGACCCTTTGCCATCCTTGGATGTGCCATGCACTTTCCCACCTCCTAGAATTTTTTATTTCTTTTTTACTTTTTTTTGGTGAGGCAATCGGGGTTAAATGACTTGCCCAGGGTCACAGAGCTAGTAAGTGTCAAGTGTCTAAGGTCAGATTTGAACTCGGGTCCTCCTGACTCCAAGGCTGGAGCTCTATCCACTGTGCCATCTAGCTGCCTCCCACCTCCGAGACTTGATGTTGTTCTCTGTATCTGGCATGCCCTAGGCCCTCCCTTCCTCTCCCCAGTTCTCTGCCTGTTGAAATTCTGCTTGTCCTTGAAGGCCAAGGTCTACAGCCTTGAGATTCTGCAGGCAGCATGATCTCGGCCTCCTGTGTTGCCATGGTCACACCTCTCATGCGGCTGCCACATTTTTTCACGTATTATTTGTGACTACATTTTATCTTCCCTAAGTTTGTGAACTCCAGGACTGCATCTTATCTGTATTTGCCCTTCCCCTAGGGTCCCCAGGAGGCACTTCAAGGCTTAAAGGAAAAAATCAGTCTCCCCTCCAGAGCTCCCATTGATTCCATATCTTTCTTATTATTCTATCATACTCGGTCATACATTAGACTTATCTGTTTTTGTTTTATCTCCCCCAATAACTTATAAGGGCCAGGACTGAGCCTTAATGCATCTTTGTATCACCACCCCTCCCTAGTGCTTTGAACCTGAAAACACACAGTATGTGTTGGGCGAATGGTAGAAACAGGGTAAAAACTCATGCTGGGAACCTAAGTCAGTGTGTGTTTCTTCCTAGATGAACCATGAAGGTGAGAAGTGTGTGAGGGAGGGGGTGGAGTGGTTTCTGTTTTTAAAAAACCCCAAATCTGAAGTGAGGGGAAATGCTACTGTTTTCATAGTGGGAATGTCCAAGGGGACTGACAGCCCTATTTTAACAGGTCCATGAAAGGTCACACACAGGGGACCGGCCGTACCAGTGTGAGCATCGTGGCTGTGGGAAGGCCTTTGCCACAGGTGAAAACACAACATTCTCTGTCATCCACCCACTTGTGTTGGCAGAGGCAGGCCTTGGGGGAGCTAGCAGTTGTGCTTTTAATTTCTCATACATAAAAGAGGAATAAAAATCCTCATCTTAAGTGGCTTGTTGACCCCTCTGCCCTGTCCCCTTTCTCTGTCCCCTGTTTTCTTTAGCCCCTTCCCTCTGTTCCATTTTCTGCTCTCCTTCATTCCCCCATTGCTTTGCCTGCCTCCTTTTAGATAAGGAGAAAAAAATGAAAACTTGAAAAAAAAATTTTTTTATCCAACTCCTCTTCCTATATGCATGCATAAATGTCTCTTTCTTGTCTGTGATGTGAGCTCTTTGAATGGGAAAGGTCACCTTGTACTGTCACGAATAGAATCTAACACATTAGGAATGCTAATTTTAAAACTTTTGAATTTCCTATGAGAAGGTTATTCCAGTGACCCTCTCTCAGTCAGATACGCATTTCAGGAGTCTACTGAGCTATTCACATTCTAATAAAAATTAAATGGCTTTTCATCTGTTTGATTCAGTGATTGAATCCTGAAGGTTTCAGGTGTTTAAATTTCTTTTTTTCCAAGGTTATGGATTAAAAAGTCATTTCAGAACCCACACAGGAGAAAAGCCATATCGGTGTTCAGAAGATAATTGTATGAAGTCTTTTAAAACATCAGGTGACCTACAGAAACACATTCGAACTCATACAGGTACTGGCATTGTGGGTAAGCTCATAGGATATGAAATCATAAAATCCAGCCCCTTCCTCTCATGCATGGACAGACTTGGCCTTAGGTCAAACGGCTCATTGTGCCAGAGGCAGAACAAAGACTGAGCCACCTCAGATTCCAAACCCGTTGTTCTTCTACCTATACCCTGTTGCCTCTGCAGCGGATGGGAGGACTGGACAGTGCAGTGCCCCTTGGTTACCTCAGCTCTCCCTTCCTTCCCCTTGCCCACAGGTACCTGTGCCTTATCCCCTCTGCTCCTCCTCACACTTGATTTATCCTGCATCAACTTTGTTGAGCCAGAAGTCAAAAGATAGCTGTTTACCCTGGGCCTCGGTTCCAGGAGTCTAAGAAGTTGCTGATAACTGGTGTTGTTATGAGCCATTGCCTTAGTCACACAGTACAAGCTCTCATTTCATTTATACTGTGCATGTAAGCAGGGATATTGTAAACACCGTATGACAGGGTTTTTGTTTTTGGTTGTTTTGGTTTTTTTTAGCTTTCAACATTCACTTCCACAAGATTTTGAGTTCCAAATTTTCTCCCTATCTCGTCCCTCCCCCCACCCCACGATGGTATGCATTCTGAGTACCCCTTCTCCTAGTCTGCCCTCCCTTCTATCTCTCCCCCCCTTCTTTTATCCCTTTCCGCTTCAGTTTTCCTGTAGGAAAGGATAGATTTCTATACCCCATTTCCTGTATATCTTATTTCCCAGGTGCATGTGAAAACAATTTTTTTTTAACTTTTGTTTTTAAAATTTGGGGTTCCAAATTTTCTCCTTTCCTCCCTCCCCTCCCACCGTCATTGAGAAGGCAAGCAACTCGATACAGGTTATACATGTGTAGTCATGTAAAACACTTCCATAGTAATCATGTTGTGAAAAACTAGTATATTTCCCTTAATCCAACCCGCCCCCATTTATTCTGTTCTCTCTTTTGACCCTGTCCCTCCTCAGAAGTGTTTGCTTCTGATTACTCCCTCCCCCAATCTGCCTTCCCCTCTGTCATCCTCCTGCTTTCTTGTCCCCTTCCCCCTCTATTTTCCTGTAGGGTAAAATAGATTTCCATACCCAATTGAGTGTGTATGTCATTCTCTCCCTAATCCAAATCCAATAAGAATAAGATTCACTCATTCTCTCTCACCTTCTCCCATTTCCCCTCCACTATAAAAGACTTTTCTTGTCTGTTTTATGTGATATAATTTACCCCATTCTACCGCTCTCTCTCTTCTTCTCCCAGTATAATCTTCTGTCACCCCTTAATTTTATTCTCCAGATATCACCCCCTCATCTTCAACTCACCCTGTGCCATCTATCTATCTATCTATTTATCTTATCTGTGTACACACACACACACACACACACACGCATGTAATTTTTTCCCTCCCACTACCCTAATACTGACGAAGGACTCATGAGTTACAAATGTCATCTTTCCATGCAGAATGTAAACAGCTCAACCTTAGTAAGTCTGTTATGAATTCTCTTTCCTGTTTACCTCTTCCATATGGCACTTGAGTCTTGTATTTGAAAGTCACATTTTCTATTCAGCTCTGGTCTTTTCATCAAGAATGCTTCAAAGTCCTCTATTTCACTCAATGTCCACTTTTCACCTGAAGGATTATGCTCAGTTTTGCTGGGTCATGTGACAGTTTTACCCACAGGCATTGAGATTTCTGTTGCCTCTAATGGGTTTTCTAAAGTAGCTCAATAGAGGATTCACTGGCTATTTTCCCCTCTGGCCATCAAAAATTGAATATTTCCCCTCAAGATAATCCCAGGTTTTTGAAGAGGACATATGAACCATCCTACAACTTAGTGTAATTTACTTAAGGATTCTTAACATTTTTTTGGATCATGGACTCTATTGGCAGTCTGAGGAAGCCTATCCTTTCCCAGAGTAATATTTTTAAATGCATGAAACAAAATACAAAGTATTACAAAGAAAACAAATTATATTGAAATACAGTTGAGGGGAGGTAAGGTCAATAATTATCGCACTCTCACTTGGAAGTCCTTGTGCCCACTAGCATACATTTGCAACCCCTGACCCTAAATGTATGACCCAGGAAAGCTATAACTCCTCCTCCTTCCTAACAACCTTCATGGCTCACATGAAGATTTAAAATCTGAAAGGATTTTCATGTGCATGAAGCTGTTTTCAGCCTCACAGAGGGCCTCAGTTCCTCCAGGACGCTTTCTGAAATGTAGTATAAATAGAGAAGCAGTGTCTTACTGTTGAGGAAAAACCCCTGAGCTTAGAGCCTGGAGTCCTGGCCTTGCAAATTGCTTTCTAGGTGACTTTGGGCACATCACTTCTCCTCTGAGTTTGCTCATCTCTAAAATAGGGATGATAATAATAATTCCAGGCCTGCTGACCTCATGGGGTTATGAATGAGAAATATACTTTGTAAATTGAAAGTGCTATATGAATGTGAACAACTGTTTTTATTATTACAAATGGAGTCAAGGTAAAAGGTACACTGTAAAGAAACTGGGCTCATATAGTCAAACCTTAGATGTGGAGGGCTTGTTTTTGTTTCTTGTTTTTTACACACACGCATCATTAGAATAAGGTGCTTTAGTCAAAAAGGCAGACCTCAGAAATCTTCTCATGGTCTTCCAGTCTATGGAGTTATTTTGCCTTCTATTTTCCAGGATCTTTTTTTTTCCACCCTAAAATTTCTTGTGATACTTGAACTGATCTCTTTTCTGGAGCTGCATCTCAGACGTTTGAAAATTAAAAGTGAAGCCTAGTTTCCTTTTCATTTTTGAAAGACGATTGATACATTCCTTTTGCCTGTCCCTGGTACTGGGGAATACTCAGAGACAAGCAGACTGAGCAGTTTTTCTTGTAGTTAATGTCAGCCTAATGAAGAAAGGATCATTCTTTTCTCTATATGATAATACCACAAAACAGAAGGAGACTCATTTTCCTAATGAACCAAAATTTCCATAATTGATAAAAGGTGGTCCTTACTTAGAAGGTTCTGACTTAGGGCCTTATCATTCTCAAATCTATCTTACTCAGTTGTCTCTCCCTTCCAGTCTATCATTAAAATGTGCACACTTGACAATTCCTTCTGAGACTTTCATGTAATGAGTTTTGTGAGTTCTTATTTCCATTCAGAAACCTTTCTGTGTCCCTTTAAACCTGGAAAGAAAAATAAACTTTACTTAGAAAGTTTTGCTCAAGTGAGAGAAATCTGAGTAGCAAAGCTGCAAATCATGGATTTTGATTCTGCTTTTTATTTTTAAAAAATGTTTTATTGATGCCTTTTGTTTTATGTCAGTCATTTCCAGCTTTACTGCACTCCCTCCCACCCAGTGAACCTTCTGTTGGAAGAAAGGAAAAAACAATTTGAACAAAATCTACAGACACAGCTCTATGTCTGACAGCACCTTCCTGACCGTTTAATTTACCCTCCTCTGTGTTTGCAGGTGAACGACCCTTCAAGTGTACCTTTGAAGGATGCGGCAGGTCCTTTACTACATCAAACATCAGAAAAGTGCACATTAGGACACATACAGGAGAAAGACCCTATTACTGTACAGAGCCAGGATGTGGGAGGGCATTTGCCAGTGCAACAAATTATAAGAATCATGTGAGGATACACACAGGTAATCCATCTCTGGGGCTGGGGTCTTTGTTTCTGCTAGTCCTCCTTTGAAGCTCAGTTCATCAGCTTCTTTTCCCGGGAAGCCCTCCTTGCCTACTCCATCCCTCCCTCCCTGTAACACCCATGGCTTCATGTGTATAAATCTTACCTCACCACAAGAGGGCACAGGCAATGTGTTAGCCTTTTTTTGTGTCCCTTACAGTTCTGGGTATGCAGTGTATGCTCAGAGTTTTTGAGTGGTAACAAAAGGTCAGGTGAGGTCACTAAAAGTAGTCTTTGATTCCTTGCCCTGAAGTGGCCAGCTATATTAAAGAGTATTTTATTATCCTTTCCTACATTTTAGTGAGCTGATTTTTTTTTTCGGTCCAGACCTATGATTCATCTGCATAGGGCAGTGGTGTCAGATGGAAATGGGAAACTCTACCCATATGTAAGGAGTAGCTTAGTGGTTAAATAGTCATTTACTTTGTAGATATGGGGAAGGTGCCAAAGGAGGTAGAATCCTAGCTGGAAAGGCAGAGGACTGAGCTAGACCCATCTGGAATACGAGTATGTGGGCTTTTCCCGTCATGCTTATTGTTGTCCCTGGTGGGAAGGTTATTGCTTTCCATCCCCATCCTTTTAACTTTTATAACCTAATATGTGACATGTTGACTTTGTGTGTATGTATGTGTGTGTGTGTGTGTGTGTGTTGTCTTTTCCTTAGGGGAGAAGCCATATGTTTGTACAGTCCCTGGGTGTGATAAACGATTCACAGAATATTCCAGTTTGTACAAACACCACGTTGTTCACACTCACTCCAAACCGTACAACTGCAATCACTGTGGGAAAACGTATAAGCAGATCTCCACCTTAGCGATGCACAAGCGAACAGCTCACAACGACACAGAGCCAATTGAGGAAGAGCAAGAGGCCTTCTTCGAGCCCCCACCAGGTGGGTAGCACTGGGCAGGAGGGGGACCTGAAAGGTCAGATTCCTTCCCAGCTTTTGTTTGGAGTCCTCTTGGATGCCTTTCCTGACTCACCTGGACGCTTGGAAGCGCTCTGATCTAAAGCCTTCTTGGTACTGGTTTTCCTTTCTGATGGTACCTGTGACTTGGGTTGGCCAGCTCAGCCATTTAGAGACTCAGAGATTAGCATTCCATGAGAATAAGTTACTGGATTCATTCTTGAAGAAATATGAAGAAACTGTTGACTAATAATAATAATAATAATAATACACATTTATAGTATTTAACGGTCACAAAGCACTTTCTTCATACAGCAGTCCTGTGTTGTTACCCACATTGTACAGATGAGGAAACTGAAATTCAGAGGGGCTCTGACTTTCCCAGGGTGGCTCCTAAGAGTCAGACTCAGGACCAGGACTCACGTGTCTCTCCTTTCTCTTGAGGAGAATACTCCTGCCGGTGTGGTGTGTGAAGCTATGACTTTTTCACCTTCTGAAAAGGACATTCTCTGATCCTCTTTAAAAGGGAAGCAACAAGGATGGCATAGTGGAGAGAACACTGGATTAAGAGACAGTGTGGGTCTGGGGAAGGGGCAGGGCAGCACAGTAGAGTGGGAAGTAGACTTGGCGGACTTGGGTTCGAATCTCGGCTCTCTCACTTCCTAGTTGTGTCTCCTTGGGCAAGTCACTCGACCCTTCTGAGGGTCAATGTCTTCATTTGTCAAATGGGAAGAATACTTGTTTTACGAACTTCATAGGGTTGTTGAAAATACCTTGTAATCTTGGAGAGTTGTGCAATTGGGAGCTATTACTATTGAAGTTTACAAAACACCTCTGGGTCAAGATGAGAAGCAGTGGATTAGTGGATTAACAACTATTCAGACTTTTTTTTTTGGACACAATAGACTTTTCAGAGGTTACATGGGAAAATGCTGTGGGAACCCCTCCTCCTTACTCCCCCAAATTTCATACCATATTCCTCAGTGATTTCCAGCTTTAAATGTCCAGATTTAAATATTTAGAAAAAGCCAAAACCCTTTAAAAATAAGAAAGTGAATGGAATGGTGTATTTATTTTAGTTCTGGAAGGGAAATGAGGTTAAACATCGTTAATATTATGTACACTCTCACTTGGAGCCCTTGTGGTGGTGGGCATACATTTGCAAGAAGTTGATAGAAAGGAGAAAGGTTAATGGTGCCCCCTAGAGATTAAATTGATGACCCTGGGCCTTCTCAGCCCAGTACTCACCATCCACAGTCTTCAGGCAACAGTGTATATAACATTGTAGGTTACCTTCAATTTCCTTTTTAAATTGGATAAAGATCTTGCTTGCCCTTTTTCTGCCTTTCATGAAGGATAGAGAATGGAGAATGGGAAAAGAGAAGAATCTGATGTAATTGCCACATGTGGCTCTTCCTGAGTGATATAATTACAGCAGGGACCCTGGAGTGCATTGTGGTTATTTAAGAAGTAGAATAAGAGCCTCTTTGGCTTATTAAATGATTAACTTGAACTCAGATAGTACATCTTTACACAGTGGTGGGTGTCCTTTCCTGAGGACCAGAGGTCACTTATGTTAATGAATACTTGTTAGTACCACTTTATTGTATTTACAAACCATTCAGGTTTGCTGGTTAGTATTGTTAACCTGGTGAATCATTATCTCTGGGCGTTATTTTTTTTTTATTGTTTTCTAAGCCAGTAGAACAAATGAAGTGAGTATATAACTAAATTCATATTTACTTTTGGTTATTTTTGGAAGCTTTATTTACATCTGTCTTCTTCACCTCCCCCCAAACACACACTCTTTAACAATGAGGGAAAAACAGACCCAAGACCTTGGAACAATTTGTTGGATTTGATGGTGTTAAACTTGGGGAAGCGGCTGGGGTGTTGTAAAGAGTCCCTAAGAAAGAGCTCTTTGTGGTTAGTAATTTAATAAATAACACAAAGATCATTGTCTTTTTCCCCCTTCGTTTTAATTTGTATATATATTTTTTTAACAGGTCAAGGCGAGGATGTCCTCAAAGGTCCGCAGATAACATACGTTACAGGCGTAGAAGGGGAGGATGTTGTGTCTGCACATGTAGCTACTGTAACGCAATCTGGATTGAGCCAGCAGGTCACGCTCATATCCCAGGATGGGACCCAACATGTAAGTGTCCACCATGTACAAGTCAGCTGAAAATCCTGGAGGATATTCCTGTCAGGGAATGGTGGGAGATGGAGCTGGAGTTGTGAGTTTGGGCCAGACTGGAAGCCCCTGATTGTCGCATAAGGAAATCTGACATTAGTCCTAGAGGCAGCAGGGAGCCTGTGAACATTGTTGAGCTGCTGAGCGACTAGATAAGAATGAAGTTTTAGAAACATTGATATGAGAGAGACTTTTAGGCAGCTGTTACTGTAGTACAAGTATGGGGTGCTTAGGGCCTGGACTGGGGTGGTAATGGAATGAGAAGGAGGGATGAAGGCAAGAGTTGCCACAAAGGGTCCACAGCATCTGACGATGGGGAGGTTGGGGAATGGGGGATGAAAAGGAGGAGGAGTCCAAGATGACTCCAGGGTTCCAAGCCATGTGCACGCAGAGCCTCTGAAGTGTCCCTGCCCTCTTGCATCAGAGCTCATCACTCTGCCTCCTCAACATTCTCAACCCCTTTTTGCTTCTCATCTCCCTGGAGGACAGACAAAGATCGGCTGCCACTTTTTTTGCTAGTTTTTTTGGCAGTCAGGGTTAAGTGACTTGCCCAGAGTCACACAGCTAGTAAATGTTATGTGTCTGAGGCGGGATTTGAACTCAGGTCCTCCTGACTCCAGGGCAGGTGCTCTATCCACTGCGCCACCTCACTGCTCCCAGCTGCCACTTTTTGTGATGTGCCTCTAAAGCAGTGGATTGTCCCAAAGCAGATTGTTTCCCCATAGGGGTAGTGTAATAATTAGGGACTGCATGATTCATAGAACATACAGAATTATAGAAATCGATGCCAAACATATAACAGTTATTTAAAGTAGTAAAATGGTGTTACGTCTTCTGTAAAATGGATATAAATGTACCTTGTTGATAAAAACAGGACTAAGAAGTGTAATACAGCACATCAACAGCGACAATAATAGTTCACATTTGTGTAGCACTTTGAGGTCTGCAAGTGCTTTACACAGGTTATCTCATTTGATTCTCACAGCAAGGGGTGGGAGACAGGGTCATGCAGCATGTGGCGTCCAAGGCCAAATTCGAACTCATATTCCTGACTCCAGACTCAGTGTTCCATCCGCTCTCCTACCTGGCTGCCTCAGTATTAACAGACCATTGTATCGTGAATCTGATATCAGTGAAACCAGCCTTCTCACTACATTAGATAAACAATAATTATGTTTGCCTTCTTAGGATTTAGAATGAATTTTTTAAAAAAACTATTCATGGGGCAGCTAGGTGGCATGCTGGATAGAGCACCAGCCTGGAGTCAGGAGGACCTGAGTTTAAATGTGACCTCAGACACTTGGCACTTACTAGCTGTGTGACCCTGGGCAAGTCATTTAACCCTGACTGCCTTGCACCTCCCCCCCCGAAAAAAAATTATTCTAATGACTTCATTATTCAGTTTGCTTTCAAAAAGCTATCCTTGGAAGTTTGAACTGATGCTTTTTTTCCTCTGTCAGTAAATTTATCATAACCAGAAAAGTTCAGCACCATTCCACTGACATTAGAGCTCTGCTCCAAGTAATAAATGTTCAATAAATGTCACTACTAATAATGGTGGTATTTGTCCTACTAAGAAACTTTTTTTTTGTAAGAAAGGGCTTGTCCACAATTTATCCTCATTGTCCTTTATTACGCTTTCATTTTATTCAAAGCTACCAGTGTATCAAGTGTCTCACCCAATCAGAGACACCAAGAAATAATAGAGATTGTTACATCACTCTCTATACTTCAGTGTCACAGCCAACCTTGACAGGATGGTTCTCTCAAACTGGTGGCCCAGCCAAAGGTTTGGTCAGCTGATGCTGTAAACTGGACAAAAGATGTTCTCAGACACCTAAATCTAGAAGCCTTGCTCCTTTTACTACAAATTGCTTTCTACCCTTTCCTCCAAATTTAAACTGAGTGTGAGGACTTTTAGCACTCCAAGAATATCTAACATGGAGAAAACTTACCTCTTGATACAATACCCAAAAGTGCAGTTTGGAACAGAGAGCTCTCTCACACAAGTATTTGACACTTTTATCCAAGCCCACATTACATTTGGCTTGAAAAGCTCCCAAAGCAGATTTCGTAATACGACTTCACAAAGAAATGCTGAGGCAAATTTGAGGTGGAATTTGATCATGTGTGCATTGTGACCTGTAAGGTATCTGAAAGGTATGGTTGAGGAGCAGTGAGCTCTAAAGAAAGAAAATCAGAGAGGAGGGTTCACCCTTTCCCTTCCTGCTAATACTGAGCCATTTTTCTAAGTCTGACTCAATTTCTACCCCCTCCAGGAAACCACCTCACAATACCTAGATTTTCTTCCTCTCCAAAACACCTGTAGCCTTTATCATCAGTATCACTCCTTTCAGATTGAAGTATCACGATGGCTTTAAGTTTATAGCACTCCCGTTTATTGTACTACTGCTATCCTTTTGTTTTCTTTATATGTATTTAAATTTATATTTTATGTATTATATAAAATTATATCAATAGATTATATTGTAGATATAGGTATAATTTGTTTTCTTTATAAAGAAGTGATTATCTGTTTTATATCTTTGTCTGACCCAAAGGGCGAGAATCTATGCAGTGTGACTGGTGGTGCCTAGGAGGGGCCTACCAAGAACTTTGGGACCCCTGGTTGATAACGTACACTTTAGCCCTAGAATGTTGTTTCATGGGTTTTATATTGTTCACTAATTGGCAGCTGGATATTTGTCACGGTATTGCCAAGTTGGACGAGACCTTGGAGCTAGTTCCGCTAGTCCATCTCCTATCCAAATGATGAATTCTGTCTTCAGTGACAAGCTAGACACTGTTTCAGCACTTCCGGTGACACAAACCTCACCACTCATCTTCGCAGTCCATTCCTTTTTCAGACATCAATAAATATTAGAAAGTGTCTGTTAAGTTGAAATATGCCTGCCTACAATTTCCACCCATTGGTCCTAATTATTGGGTCAATCAGTGTAAGTCTAACCCTTCTTCCCCAGGCTAAACATTCTTAATTCCTTCAACCAAGCTTTATCTGGCGTGGTTAAAAGACAGGGCAGAGGGAGAAATAATACTCTGCAAGTCAAGCCAAATGGTCTCTTTACTGTCCCTCATACATGACACCCCATCTCTGCTCTGTGAACTTTTACACTGGCTGTACCCCATGTTTGGAACGCACTCCCTCATCATCCCCACTTCAGCATCTCTAGTTTCCTTGAAAGCCCAGCTCATGTGCTCCCTTCTTTCTACAGAAACCTCTTCTGTTCCCCTCATGGCTAGTCCCTTCCCCCCACTAGATTATCTTCTATGGATATTGCATATACTGCATACATATTCCTTCCCTCAGCTAGACTATAAGCACCTTCAGGGCAGGTACTGTTTTATTTTGGTCTCTGTATTCTTAGTGCCTGGCATACACAACAGGCACTTAATAAATGCATGGTAAATGAATGACGGAGGGTTAACCATACCATCCTATCAAAATGAGAGGGCACACTCCTCCTTTCTGTCAACCACTGATAAATATTCCCCAAGATGAAGAGAAAGCAGGTTGGGGCAGTCCCTGGAAGGAAGCGTTCTGATTCGGGCTCTATCCTGTGACCTTCCAGCAAGTCACTTTCCCTCTTGGACAGGAGATTGGGCTCCATGATATCTTAGGTCCCCCCCAGTTCCAAGTCAATGGCTTAAATTAATATTTACTTACAGTTGGTTGGGGGCTTCACCAACCCATCGTGATTCTATCAGAGAGAAGTATGCTGTTGCTGTCCCCTGGCGATAGTTCACATTTACCTTAGCAGTGTGTGCTTGTAGCAGGTACCAGTGAGGGTCTTTCATGAACCTAAAATATTTCTTCTATGTATTTTTCTAACATGAAATATTTTTCGGTTTTCTGGACCAGGCTTGCTAGATAAACAAACTACCCTTAGATCTAGTGTCCCAGCAAAGTAGGTTTGAATTTGCTGGCCATAGACCATTGTTCAAGTCTGCTTTCTTGGTGGCCTAAATGCATTTCTTAGGTGTCCAAAGGAAGATTCAATTCACTCGTTGTCAATTTATTCGCTGAAGGGTGGGGCTCAAATGACCAAATGTACTTGAAGCATTTCTGATTTTTTTTTTAATGTTTCATTTCAGGTCAACATATCTCAGGCAGACATGCAAGCCATCGGCAATACCATCACCATGGTGACGCAAGATGGCACCCCAATCACAGTCCCCACTCATGATGCAGTTATCTCTTCAGCAGGAACACACTCTGTAGCCATGGTGACTGCTGAGGGTACGGAAGGACAGCAGGTAAAGGCCTTTGTATTCATATATGTGACATTGAAAAAAAACTGTCCAGAGCCAGCTTGGGAGAAAGTATAGTATCATGGAAAAACTAGAGCATTGGGAGTCAGATGATACAGGTTCTAATCCTGGCTCTGCCCCCTTCTTGCTGGGTAATATCTTTAGACTAGGCTGTTCCCCTCTCTGGGGCTCAGTTTCCTGTCTGTAAAATGAACAGCAGGACTGGGTGCCTTCCAAGGCCCTGGGTAGCCCTGACATTCTGTAGTCTAATCTGTCAATTTCTGAGGCATCAATGCCATGCGACATTGCTCTCCATGGTCACTCGCTCAGTGGTCATCCAGCAATAGCAGATTCAGCTGTAGCTCTCTAAAGGGAGTTTGTGCCATAGCTTATTGCAGCTCTTAACGATGGGGTCTGTCCGGAGAAAGAAGGCTATCATCCCTTCCCTCTGGCTGTCTTTAGAGTGGCCCCAACCAGCCTATCTCTTATATTTCCCATGGTCCCAATGCTTTTCTCATGGGTTCTCTGTAGCAGGCAGAGATGCAGAAATTCCAGCAGGTCTTGTGACCATTAACTGACACCCCATAGCAGACCCTCTCTAAAATCTTGTTTCAAGAAGCACAGGCCACAGAATCCTGAACTTAGAGTCATAGGATCCTTCAGCCATTTACTCCAGTCTTCTCATTTTATAGATAAGGGAGCTAAGGTCCAGAGACTGACATGATTTACCCATGGTCACAGGAGTAGTAAGTGGCAGAGCCTGCCTCCTAGGTCGAAATCCAGTGTGCTTTCTTGGTTAGAGCATCTGGAAGAAAAAGTGCCAGGGATCAGTAATGTTACTGGGAGTGTCATTTAAGATTTAATGTCTCTTCGTCTCCCCTTACCACTGCTATATATCCACTTCCGTATTTAAAAATTCAAGGACTCTGCATTGACCCTATCATTAGATGGCCTGAAATAGTTTCAGTAAACTCTTAACAGAATCTTAAGCACAGAGGTAGATATCCACTGGGGAAATGTTGAAATCTCCCCTGGAGTGCTCTGATCTTATCTGGACTGAAGCCTTCCTGGAACACCTGCCACTCCAGGGCTGAGCTCTGCTGTGGACAGCTTTCCGTGTGCTCGGAGAGGGGGGATCCTCTGGGTCTTTAAAAAGAGACCAAGGCAGCCTGGTTTCAGACACGCTCTCTAAGTGGAGGCTTTGGAAAACCATGGCCACCTAGCATGGTTTTTCATTCTACTTCATGGAATAGAACCTGCGAATATCCTATCTGGAATTTTCTGGTGGGTTAAAAAACCAGGGTTTGTTAGTGGAGTGAAGCCCAGGTTACCGAGCAGTGGCAGCCGAGCTCTGACTCCTCAGCATTTGGTTGAATGAGTTCTTTCTTATCCAGCCTCTCCTTGGGTTGCTACAGGACAAAGGATCGATGCCTTTTGTCCACCCACCAGCTATATAGGAAAGGCAGTCTTGTGACTCCTGAGAAAAGCACATTCAATTCCCTTTCCTTGACATTTGGAGGGGGAAAGTAAAGTGGATGTATGGTATCTAAACTTGAGCTTTATATTAGATATCACACCATAATATATTGGTCCAGTAAAGATGTGCTAATTACACAAAAATGTGATTTTAAATAATTATGGGTTTGAATAGAAGAAAAGATGTTGCCCAACACTTACCCAGACCCAGGAATAAAGAGATGTTTAGGAATAGTGACTCTTTGTGTTTGTGGGCCAACGTGGCTGCCTCCTAACTAGCCACTTGGGGGCAGCAAAATTTAGGGGCAGAGAAGGTTTGCCAGCAACTGAAGACAGGCTTTCCTGAGGTTGGGGAAACGAGCTAGTCTGTTAAATCGGCCTGAGCGCCCCAAGTTCTGAGGATGAGCCTCACATTGAGTGTCTCTGGCGTGTGTCGCAGGTTGCGATAGTGGCCCAGGACTTAGCAGCGTTCCACACGGCCTCCTCAGACATGGGTCATCAGCCACACGGGCATCATTTGGTGACAACAGAAGCTCGACCGCTGACGTTAGTGGCCACGTCCAACGGAACACAAATTGCAGTGCAGGTAAGCCTAAGCATGTAGCAAGTGTGGCCCACTCTGTCAGTTGTGCCCAAGGGGCTATTTCTGGTCCTGGTGGCAAACAGCAGCAAAGAGATGCACGCACGTGGGCCAACCCAACGCTCAGCACCCATGGAGCCAGTGGCCCAGATATCAATGTCTCATCTCCAATTTCTTCACTTGCTACAGGAGCATGTACAGAAAAAGAATGGGCAAGACATTCCTAGCTCTGTATCCTGAAGGGCCATCACATCACGCCCAGTTTTCCTAAAAGTCTCCCTGTATAGATAGATGCCTGTCCAAATCTCCCTTCCAGATTCTGTAATCTGGTAAATGAGAGCATCTCCTCACCTTCTGCTTTACAGCAAGACAAATAAAGGACATGGATCCGTCCAGGTTAAAACTAGGCAGGACTGATGATACCGGTCAGCTACAGGTTAGACTGGATAGCGCTAGTGATCCCTTCTCAGCCTACGATTCTGTGCTTCCTTGGCTAAGACCGTTGTGTCCTGTGCCTCGAGACCGTCTTAGAGGTTAGGTACCGGCTCCTCTGTGGCCCTGCTTAATTTCTGTAAACTGCAGAAAGGATGGCTGGTTGGGCATGGTGCCCTTGGCTTGGAACCAGGCCTCTTCCGTGTTTGTTTCTGAGGGAAAATATGCTTCAGCTTAAGAGAGCCTTTCCCAGGAGCGTAACCTGCCGCCTGTATAAGTAGACACCTGCCTGGATACACTTCTTCCCACAGGCCACCACGGTCTCAAAAGTCTCTTAAATGTTTCTCAAAGGCCTTTGTAAAATAAATGTACCTCACACCTCATCGGTAGACCATGGCACAGGGTCATGAAAAGACCACCCACCAGATCTGAAGCAAAAGGCTCAGGGTCTTATCTCAGCTCTTACCTGCCTGTGGTAGCATCTTGGACAAGTGGCTTCAGAAAACTAAAGAAAGGCTTGAGTCTCCTTGTCTGTCAGAATGAGAGGCTGACATAGAAAGTGTATATTAAATTTAACATGGTGGTAACAAAATTGCTCTATTTGTATTCCCCTATAAACTCTTATATTTCTTGCAGTGTTTTTATTAATGTTATATTGATGCCCCCCCGTCCCAGCGCCCCTTCTGTCTTTGTCTCTGTGTGTCTATCTATGTGTCTCTCTTTCTCTTCCCCCCCTTCCCTCTGTCTCTCTCTCTCTTTCCTCTCTCCCTCCCCTCCTCCTTTGCTCTCCCCCTCCCTTCTCCCACCTTCCCTCTGTCTCTCTCTTCGCCCCTCCCCACCAAAACCTTCCCTTTTCTCCTTCCCTTAAGCCTTTCTTTGCCATTCACCATTGCTAAGCAATTTTACAGGCACACATTCTGCTGTGTGCCCTCAGCTGGTCATCACCATTCTTAAAATAAAAAATTAACAATACTGCCATTTTGTTATAAAATAAAATTTTACATTTATAGATCATTTTATGGTCACATAATGTCACATGGTCACCTAATGTGACCATTTTATGGTCACAAAGCACTTTGAACACATCTCATTTTGTTCTCACAATAGCCCTGTGAGGTAGATAATGCAAGTAATATTGTTTCCATTTTATAGATGAGGAAACTGAGGCTCAGAAAAGAGGAGTGACTTGCCCCAGGTTACTATATATAGCCAGACTCACCTCTTGGAAGAGATATACCCTTTCAACAAGGACAGCTGATTGATTAATCTTCAAATACTCATTACACAATCCCAGTCAATTCAGCAAACATTTTGTTGAAGCCTAGTGTTTTTGCAGAAGTCCCTGTGGTGGATACAGAAACTGGGGCTAAGCCAAGGCCCCCCTACCCAGAAGGAATAAATAGTTGAATGGGGAGATAAGAAGTTGAATGAGGAGTTAAGACAGATGCACAGTGGAACTGTACTGCGAGGCAGAACATGATTATTGCCCCCAAGAGAGGCACTGACCTCATTTCTTAGAGTTGGGAATGCTCTGAAACCCTTTGGCTCCTGGTGTGAATGGTTGGCAGCATGCCCCATATTGGAGAGATGTGAAACAAAGATGCCTTAGAAAAATGCTTTTATAGGTGCTTAACTTGAAATGATGGTTAGAATATAGTTCAAGAATGTGAACGCTATGTCTTGATGTGGACAACTCCTTAGGAGAAAAGGCCTGTAGACTGTCTTTATCTTGAACTTCTAAAATAAGGAATTTCCTTTGGCCCCTTTGGTGTGAAGACTTTTATCCAATACCTAACGAAACTACATTTAATCTCTTCCCACCTTCTTTTCCCCTCACATCACTTAGGTAGATATCTCTGGCTGTGCCCATTCATTCAAAGTCAAATACTGAGAACATTTATTAAGTACTTAATATGCTCTGGGAGCTGGGGAGCCATGGGCAAAAAGTGAACATCCCTGCCCTCTGGCAGCCTGCATTCTTCTTGGGGGATGCAGATAAGAGGGCACAAATTAGTCAATAGAAAGTACATACAAATTGTTATCATATTGCTTACCTTCTCAATGGGTAAGGGAAGATTGAGAGGGAGAGAATATAGAACTCAATTTTTTTTACTTTTTAAAATATTCTTAATTATTTAGGATTTTATTTTTCCCCCAATTACATGTAAAAACAGTTTTTAACATTTATTTTTAAAATTTTGAGTGGAACTCAAATTTTAAAAAAAGAATGATAAAATAGTGTATATATTTTAAAAATTAAATAATAAGTATATACAAAGGAGTGTAAGAGGGAGAGCATATTAGATTCCAGGAAGCCAAGTTTTCCAAGTGAGAGTGGGAAAGATTTGGCTCCTGGCCTATAATTTTTATTTTGTTGAAAACTTTTGTTGAGTGAAAACTCTTTATCTTTCTCACATATTCGTGTTGCAGCTTGGAGAACAGCAGTCTTTGGAAGAAGCCATCAGAATAGCCTCCAGAATCCAGCAAGGAGAGACACCAGGCTTGGACGATTAACCCGGGCCTTGGAACCATCCGGCAGAGAATCTTTTCTTTTCAGACAACAGAGACCCCTGCAGCCAGAGTCGAGAACACTTGGAACTTTCCCATTCCCTGATCCTCTGCACACATTTTTATGCACAAGTGGACGCGTCTCATGCTTGACCCTTAAAATAGACTGGTTGGACTCGGTGACCACCAAGGTCCCTTCCAACTCTGCAGGTCAGCAGTTCTCGATTTCCAACCTGACCCCTTGTGTATGCAGAAATATGAAATTAGGACTAGATGGTAGATTTTCCTGTTGTTGCTCTTTATCAACTCTCAGACTACTGAAGTCTACCTGCATGGCCAGTGCAGCTGTAGAATTCTGTCCCAGGATGAATTTTAACTTTAAATACATGATCAAGGCTGTTCAGACACTTTCAGATGTCTGAAAGGTCCTTACAATCATAATTCCAGAAGCCATTTCAAATGACAAAAGGATGCAAAGCCTTCAAATATGTTCTTCAATTAGTAGGGACCCTGCGATTTTGGTTCTACATTTCTCCATTTTGATTTCTGTCCCAGGTAACTGGTTGTCTTCCCCTGTCCCTGTTAAGTGCAGCCTATTCAGCTAATTCCATTAGCTTTAATTAGATTATGTAATCATTGAAAAGCTTTGGTTGTTCAGAATTAAATGGTTTAATCCAATACTTTGGTTTCCTTAAAGGTTTTACCTGATGAGTTTGTTTTTGGTTTGGTTTGGTTTTTAATAATTCCAATTATGATCAAGAAAAATGTGACCACAGTGTCCAGGGAAGAAGGCAGGGCCATGATCTGAAGTGAATTGACTCTGGGATGAGTTCAGTGTAACCTATTTATTTTTGTTTAACATTATCCTTGTTCCAAAGTTTATTTATCCTGTAGCTCATTTTTAATTGAATCCAGTAGTTCAATAAACAATAATTTTCTTTTATTAAATTGGGTGAATAAATTGCTGAGGGAAAACGGACCAGAAACATAACGGACACAACCATTTCTGAGGCCTCTTGTGACAGAATGAAGCTCAGCCTTGAGAAGATTTTTTTTATAGATCCATGGTTCAGATTCTGCTTCAGTAGAAATTCAGGCCCAAGAAGCATTGCCTCCTCGCCCCCTAATTCTAGCATTATATTGTTCTTTGTACAGTTAAGAAGCCAGTTGTGGGAATGTTTCATTTCAGTTTGTATAGTTAAAAAGAAAACTTTCCTGGTTTTTTTTATTATTATTGAATGTAAATGCCATCTCTTACCTGTCTTTCTTTGAAGTCTCTACCGAAAGGAAACATTTAAGATAAAATAGCATTTTTGGCCTGAGTAGCAGAACTCCTACCAAAACCAGGACCACTGTTGCTCAAGTCCTTGCTCGAACGGGAAATTCCAGGATTCACAAACCCCCTTCTCTTCCTTTACTGAATATTGGGGTTCCAGGGTGGACTCTCCAGGGAGAAAAGAAAGGTGCTGAGACAGAGGAGACCCCCACCCATCTTCCTTTGTGGAAGCTTTTGTGGTTGTACCGGCTCAGGCCCGTGGCCCTCCCTGCCCGAAGGGTCACTCCAAATGGCATGTGGCAGGTCTTGCCCTCCGATTGTGGGGAGGGGGAGGGAGGCCACAGGGACTGTACTCAAGGAATCTCTCATGGATCACTTGGAATTCACTCTTCTCCAGCCCCAAGGTCACCTCCTCTTAATGTGTTACCAAATCCCACAGTTGACAAGCCTCTTGACCCTTGGGCAAATTTTTCATGTTTCTGGATGCTTTCCTGTATGGGTCTTGTGAGCCCCAGGAAGAAGCTTTTTGTCAGCATTCTCGAAGGAAACCATTTGCACTGACTTTTAGGGGTTTGTTTAAAACAGAAATGAAAAGGGAGGAGGGGGCTTGCAAAGTTGTGCTTGGAGTAATGAGTCCCCTGTAATGTATTCGGGCACTAAAAGGTTGTTTTCTTTCCTTTTGTCATTGGGCTTGTGACTTGCCCCTAGGAAGGAGAAATATGACTTGCTAATACTGGTCTGACTTTCCTGGGAGCTGTTAAAGCCGTAAGTTCCCAATTCCTTTTCGGGAGGAAGGTGGAACTTGGCTGAGTTGGAGGGAGACCTGATAGGATGGATTCTGTAAGGCCAGACTGAAAACTTAGCCACTAGCTTTTGTCAGAAAAACCCTTTCAGTCCAAGAAAATTAGTTCTACTTGGCCCCTACCCTTTTATACCTCTGTTATCTCCCTCTATCTCCTTGTCTTTCTCTACCTTTCCATCCCTTCCCCTACACATTATTGCCCTAGACCGACACCCCCACCCCCCCACCCCCGGGAACAGCTAAGGATGTCCCTGGTTTCCCCCATGGGAGGTGTCAAGTCTGCCCTACACTGCCCAGAATACCAACAGTCCAAATGTCTGGTAACCCAGCTTGAACTTGTCCTACTGTACAAGAAGCTTGGTTGAAGAAAGGATCCAGGAGTCCTAGGCTTCAGAATTTCTGCTACGATGCCACTGGGTGGCCTTGGACACTGGGACACTTCCTGCACCTCACGGAAGCATCGATTTAAAGCCACCAGCAACTTTAGGAGTCACTTCACCCTCCCACTTCATTTTCTGTAACTGAGGGGAGGGGACTTACCCAAAGCCGTACAGCTATTAGCAAGTGGAAGAGCTGGGATTTGAACCCAGAAGCTCAGACTCAGGCCCCAATCCAGCTTTTTTTCCCAAATGCATTTCCAATTTCATTGGCCTAAAATGAGGGGATAGGTGCTCCTGAGGGCCCATCAAGCTTCAGTATTGCGTGGCTCATCAAGGTCAGCTGTGGGGCTAAAAAGTTAATGCATTGAAGGTATTGTGGATACTGTGGTAAGCTAATGGATTGTTTGTGCCCCTTCCCCTCTCTAGGGTTTAGTTTCCCCATCTGTAAAATGAACAGATAACCTCTGGGGTCCCTTCCATCTCTAAAGCTCTGATTAGGTGTAGCGACTTTGTCCTAAGACTCATTTCCCTCCAAGGTCACAAGGGAAAGGATAGGTTTCCTCAAAGCAGCAGCTGACTTTTTCCCTTAGTAATCCCTTGGGAATTACTTCACATAGGTGTCAGCCCTGCCTCACTGAGGCTCCATGATGTCAGACTCATTTGGTCACTTGTGTTTAAGTTATGTTCTCCACCTTTGGTCCTGGGCCTTTTTGTGGAAGCATCATGTTTCTATCTGCAATTGAACTCAGCTGGAATGTGGATAGGGGGAGAGATAGTGTCCCAGAATGTCAGAGACAAATTAGGGAGTCATCTAGCATTTTTTAAGTGCCTGCTGTGTCCCTGGCACCATGCTAAGTGCTGGGGATACAAAGAAAGACAAAAGACAATCCCTGCCCTCGAAGAGCTTAGCCTCCTTTGGCCTGTCCCAAAGGAAGTGTCAGCAGCTCTCATCACTATTCATAGGACCATAGATTTAAAACTGGCAGGAACCTTAGAGGTCATTCGGTAGAATGAGGTTTCCTCAAGGACAAATAACTGCCTTACTGTCTGTATCCCCACCATCTAACATAGGGGCTGGCACAGGGGGCAGCTAGGTAGCAAAGTGAATAGAGCACTACACCTAGAATCAGGAAGTCTTGCATTCAAATGTGACCCTTACATACTTACTAGCTGTGTGACCCTGGGCAAGTCACTTACTCCCTGTTTGCCTCAGTTTCCTCATCTATAAATGGGAGGGGGGTAAGAATAGCACCTACTTCTGAGGGTTGTTGTGAGGATCAAATGAGATAATTGTGAAGCGTTTAACACAGTTGCCTTGTACATAGTAGGCGCTGCATAAATGTCAGCTATTATTATTAATAAATGCTTATTAAATGAATGAATATACCCCAGCCCCCTCATTTTATAGATGAGGAAACTGAAGCCCAGAGAGGTTGAGAAATTCACCCAATTCAACCTGCAGAAGAGGAAGCAGCAGTAGATACTGCCCCTGGACACTCTGTAGGGGATTGGCACCTGGAGTAAGACCCAGTCGACTTTATGGAAAGGGTGCTGTTACTGAGTTGTGTGTCTTCCTATCTCTCTGTGGGTGAACTATTCCCAGCCAACCACACTTCTCCAGGGCTTCTCCCAGGGCTTACAATGCTTTTTTTTTTCTTCCCTAAAATAGGAGTTAGACTGGAAATAAAATGGCTCCTCTTCTCTAGAAAACAGAAGCATCATCTGACTGCTGGGGAGGAGGAGCTGTGTCACTGATCTGATAGGAGATATTACCTGAGGACCAGTCTTGGCTATGAAACTGATTCCTCTTTGTATTCTTGATTTAGGAGAAAATGGGAGCTCTTCCTTTGGAGTCAGGAATCAATCACAGAGTCACAGATGTGGACCTCAGAAAGCCATCTAGTCTGACCCTCTCTCTTTTTTTTTTAGATGAAACAGGCTCAGAGAGTTTAAATGCCTCAAGAGATAGGATTTGAACCCAGGACCTTGACTTGAGAGCTCTTCCCCATTTCATCATACTACTGCTCTTTTTTTCTTTTTAGGCAGTTGGAGTTAAGTGACTTGCCCAGGGTCACACAGCCAGTAAATGTCAAGTGTTTGGTCTGAGGACGAATTTGAACTCAGGTCCTCCTGACTTCAGGGCCAGTCCTCTGTCACTGCACCACCTAGCTGCACCCCCCCCCATCATACTGCTTCTGCTCTCAATCAGGCAAACAATCTAACAAGCATTTATTAAGTAATTACTATGAATCAGGCAGGCACTGGAGATAAAAAGACATAAATGAAGCTACTTACCATCTCAAATCCTCCCTCAAGTGCATAGTAGACAGACACTCACTCGCTGTGTGACCGTATGCAAGTCACAGCCTTTCTGCCCCTCACTTACCTCATTTGTTAAATTAGTTATAAGGTATTTTTTTTCCTTTTTGGCTAGGAAGTGGGGTTAAGTGACTTGCCCAGGGTCAACATAACTAGTAAGTGTTATGTGTCTGAGGTCAGATTTGAACTCAGGTCCTCCTGAATACAGGGCCATTGCTCTATCCACTGGGTCACCTAGCTGCCCCCCATCATCAGTTTTAAAGGGCGTGTTTACCCCAACCCCCCCAACCATCTAGTGGTCATAGCGTCTTAGATTTAGAGGTGGAAGGGACCTTACAGACCCTCACGTGTACCTCTTCATTGTAGAGCCTCCTACCAAATCTGGTGGTAGAGTGCCCCACTTGGAATCAAGACCTGACTTCAAATCCTACCTCAGACATTTAGCTGTAAGATGAGGATAATTGAGGTGTAAAATGAGGTTCCGAGGACCACCTGAGATAAAATCCATAAAGTAATTTGTAAATGCCAAAGCATTATGTAAATGTTGGCTACGACTGTGCTTTTACAGATGAGGAAACTGAGGCCCAGACACTGGAATCGATTTGCCCAAAATCACACCTAGTAGTAAATGGCAGAGCCAGATTTGGAAAGAAGGGCCTCTGCTTCCAAATTCATCACTCTTTCCCCTCCCCTACTCTGTCTCCCACCTGTTCTGAGGTAGACACATCCCTAAATAGGAAGTGCAAGAGCTACTTGGTGGAGCAGGTCCATCCCTAGGAGTCGGTCCCTCTCAGGACTCTAGGAGCAGCCAAGCATTCTCCCACAAGAGCTCTGAGATGGGTACTTTCCCCCATACAAGGCGTCCCAAAAGTCTTAGAGCAGTTGGGCTTTTGGGAAACTGTAGCATCCCACAGGGTGACATCAGTTATCACCCATGCATACAATGTTATGCCTCCTCAACCTTGCCTCTTCTAGTCCTTCAAGATTGAGTTCAAATCCTATCTCTTTCAAGAGGCTTTTCCCTCCCCTCCACCCTTCTCCCCCTTTAGGATCTCCTTCCCTCTCCTCTGTGTGTATCTGTCATGTGCCTATTTAGATACATGCGGTTCCTTGCATTAGAACATAAGCTCCCTGACGACAGAGACTGTTTTTGTTTTTTCTTCATCTCCCC